GAGCGTACATACATTTCGGCGATTCATTTTTATTAATATAAGATTCGCACAATCTTTAATTAAAAATGTTTTGATCTGATCAGGTCCAGAGAGTAAATCATTTTTTAATTTTTTAATGGCTGCAAATATTTCTTCCTCGGATATTAATGAAAGATCAGCGTGCAATTATTTTCAGATAAACCGATATTTTGATCTATTTTTTCATTAACTATGAAATTATCCGAAAAGTATTCAGCAAAACAATTCACTATTTGTTGGGCATTGTCTAATTTTCTATTTTTATACGTCATGTTAGATGGAAGTCTGGTAGTGTTTTTCTTTTTCCGAATAAAAGACCATAATTCCTTCGGATTGTTTTTGATCGACGATTGGACATTTTCTAAGTAAGTACTGAAGTCTAACATTTTCCGATGTTTTATCAGGGCTCGCAATTCATTGAATGTTTTCTTATGTTGACTATGTTTCTCTTTTTTGTGTTCTTTAAGTGCTTTTTCTTTTTTTCTTATAAGAACTTTCAAATCACTAGAAAACCAAACAGGATAGTATCTTTTTCGCGAACCAGTTCTAGGTATATTATCGCTCCAATAAGACCCTTATTTTATTATAAAATTGCAAACATGCATCGTTAGTATCATCAGTATTATATAAAAACTCCCAATCCGTTGCATATAAGGCTCTATACAATTCGTGAAAATTGCATAACTTAAAATTAAACTTCCTGTTTATACCACAAAGAGGAAAGTTCATTGTAGAAGGTGTTCTTAATAGAATATCAATAAGTAGTGGCGGATCATGTTTATCCGGCTTTACTGGAGAAGAATCATGAAGCATGACAGCTACATCTGTTATGTTAGATAATACAAGATCTAAAATCCTACCATTGTCATTTAATACTTTTTTAAGCTGAGTCAGATTTGTTAATGCCAAAAACTGATTTAATAAGATAGCTACAGAATCATTACTTTGATCATGGAAACTTGGAATATTGAAGTCTCCAACAATCAAAATTTTGTTTTCCGTTGATACATAGTTCTCAAGATATTCAAAAAATGATTCTAAGTCTTGGACGGGCATATGTGGGGATATATATAGAGCCAAAATATATAAACAATAAGCTAAAAAATTAATTTTGCATCCAACTACATATATTTACTAAGGGAATATTACTAATTAACTCTGACAAATCCAATTTACTTATTGAAAAAGAGTTTTTTATTGCAACAACAACTCCACCACCACGTGTTCGATTTACTCGACCAAAACGACGATCACAACGAAAGACTGTATATGCGGAGGAAAACAGCTCATTATTTGAAATATCATCTGATAGCCAAGATTCTGAAAGACAGCTAACATCATAAGGATTATCGATTAAGGAGACATTAGTTCTTAATCCACGTACGTTCTGGTATATAATTTGCAGAGCATTATGACTGTTTTTTGTTTGTTTAATATTAGTTTCAGCCACTGAATTAGAATTTACCATAATATTACGAAGCATGGAAGAATTTGAGAGGTCAGGTTTAATTTGAAAATCATATTGTAATTGCTATGAGGAAAGAATATCTTTTTTCAGTTTCTCTAGAGCCTTTAAATAAGTCCCTTACGGTGCAAGACTCTCACATAATTGACCGTATCATCCACTTCCTCATGGACTATCGCTTTAAAAAGGGTTTCCGAGGCAAACTAGAGCTAAAATCCCCCCTGCTAAAATTGTCGCGCTTGACCAAGAAACTTCATCTCGTCCGTTTTTGTTGATTTTTGATTAAAAGGGCTAAACTGACAACAAATCAGAAAACTGTCCGTGTTGACATCATTATTCCTTTTTACAAGTAATGTTAATTAAATAAATACTGGACTGCAAAGTTAACAAATTTCTGTATGAAGATTTTTTAACAAGAAATAAGTTAGGTACATGAAATTAAATTATGCCACACCTTATCAACAAATTCAAACAATCAACCACATCCCATACAAAAAAAAACACATATTTAATATTATCAAAATCACAATTCAAGCTGCAAAGTATTAAATCTGCAAGAAAATATTAGACCTGAAACAAACTATTGAAGCTGTAAGATAAAGTTTTTCGAGCGCACGAAGGTATGAAATTAATCGCAATTTCTCAAATTTTTCTCGATTAGTTTTAAAGGCCAGAAATGAACTATATTAGCAACCTCGAGCGAGTTTTACTTAAGTAAAAATATCTAGAATCTTTAGTTACAAATTGATAAACAAAAAAATAAAACCTGAATAAGTGAATTTCCTATAACACCAGTTTTGGGGACAGATACTTTTAAAAGTATCTAGATACAGATATAGATATATGGAAGATAAAAGTATCTAGATACAGATTGTTTTCGATTTTTTCGAAATGTATCTAGATACAAATACAAGAAAACAGATACTTTTTGAAGCTTTGGCGAATAAAATAACTGAAAACATGTTTATGTATTTTGTTATGTATTGTTTAATGAATTTTTTAAAATTAACAACATTTCGAACGTATTGCCACCTAAATTATTTCTTCTTGGTGTCAGAATTTGGTTTCCGCTACTAAACACCCGTTCCACAGGTGCAGAAGAAGGAATTGTGGTATTAAATTTAAAACATAAACATTTTACTGTAGCATAGTTATTCAAGATTGAAAAATCTTTTCTTTTTTCCTGCAAATACTTAGGCCATCGCTTCGCTGTTTGATGTGTCGCAAATTGTGCAATATTTATTACATACGCTTAAAAAGAATATTTTTTTGTTTTTATTCCCATACTACAGTGTCCAAATTGTGTTTGAGTATATCTAATAATTATCTCCAGCATTATTAAAATTAATATTTCAAAAGAATACGGGAAATGATTATTCTGTGCTGAAGGTCTGTTGTCGGCAACCTGTCATAAATTATTATTCTTTAATATAGGCTTACGATGTTTTTATGACTATGTCCGGTAATCGTCTATCCCGGTGCGGCAGGTATATACATTTTAGGAAGAATTACTGGTTCCGTTTGAGGAAAAATAAGTACAATTTCTTAGAAAGGTATTTAAACCCCTTATAGGATCAAAGGCTGCCTGGCCGGCCGGAATCACCAGAGTGCAACTTTAAATTTTCAGAGTTTTGTTGAAACTCATTTTATTTTAATCTCGTTTCACGATTTCTGAGAATATATCACGATAAATTATTCTAACGAGGGTTGTAAAAATATTAATTTTGTTGTCCAAGATTTACATTTAAACATAATCGGCACATTCTAGGGCAAAACAGACCTGCCAAGCCCGCCTCGCGTTAGGTCCAACAATGAAAAAGTGAAGAAATGACACATGTGGCAACAGGAAAAGATGCTACATTTGTCTGAAAAATAAAGGTATAAAACAGTAACAAATATGCGATTTATGCGAGAGAAATGTATGTATTGAACATTCGATTAGTCGATTACAGAACTAATTTGCGCTAATTGAAAAAATTAATCATTATGTAACACGCAATTATTATTTTCTAAAAATAATAACATACCTTAAACAAATATTTTTACTATTAAAATTACTCTTATTTAATTACACAAATACAACCACCGGGCGTACCGGACCCGGGTTGCTCAGGTACACAGATAAAATGCATTGCCCCGATAAGCGTAAAACGCAGCGAATAGTGAATTGTGGTTTATGGTTTTTAAAATACCATCTTACCATGGCTTAGATTTATTACCCCTCAGGATTATATTTAAAAAGATGTATAAGTACTGAAGGCTACAATGTAGGAAATGATGGTATTTAAAATATGAAAATTTCCGTGACAGAACACTATTAGTGGACCTCTTACCTATATTTTTGTTTATGTGACCAAAATCACCAACATGAAGTATTAAAAATTACTACTAGTATAACTCAACTAATAACTACTGAAAAAAAAAGTGAAATAAAAAAATGTATCTGTATCTGCGCCATTAATTTTGTATCTAGATACAGATATTTTGTGCTTAAATTCGATTTTAACTAGATACAGATACTAGATACCCAAAAATGCATCTAGATACTACCCAACACTGCCTAACACGTGGTTTACATTAATTTCATGGCTACAGCAGGAACAGTTAAAAACCTTAACACAAACTCTGAAATTACAAACAATAAAATAAAACACACACAACATTTCAGATTAGAAAAATTAATAATTAATTTGTGTTTAAACAATGACTATTTTACAAAGTGTAAACTAAATCCTGCCCTTATTTTCACTTCGTGTTTAAACTCGCACCGTTGCACCAAAAGGGACCAAAACGAGTCTGCTTTCCCCTGCATTACTACCAATACCAACCCTTCACCACAACCGCCTTAAAGATGGGCATTCCCTAATTCCTTAGGACAGGCTACCACCCTAACTGAAGTTGCATAGGTTGCCTATGTTTAACGATTTTCTTAATCTATTTTTCAAATTCGAACTATTCAAATGAGATTTCGCGTCGTTGTTTTTTTTTATATATCGAAACAAGAAGTGACGCGCCCTACAAAACTCCCTAGAATTAAATTAAAAAAAAAAGAAATTTTTCAAATCGGGACACCACAGTGAGGAATTTTAATCGATTAACCAAGATTGAAGGCACGTTCTAATTTGTTTCTGTTGCCTGATAATAAGCAGCTTAAATTAACAGTCTAACAGAAATGCCCTCATTTCACTTTCGAAATCTTGATTTTGAACACCGTCATTTTGACGAAGCAGCGTTAAAAATTTTCATTAATATTTGCAAAGCCTTTCCATGTAGTTAAAAGTCAACAATATTCTGCGCAAATCATTTTAAATCTGTTTTATCCTCGTTAAGTATAATTTTATTCTGGCAGAGACTTTTACATGTAGTACAATTGAATTTTAACTTATCAACTAAAAAGTAGGTACCATAAAAGACATTGTCAAAAACAAGCACTTATGAAATAGTGTAAATCTCTTTTGCTAACAGTTTAACACCATATCTTATCACATATAATATAAATATAAACCTTGCACAAACTTAATCATTAAAATAATTGCACAATATATGTAATGTGACTGAAGTACTAACGGAAAATAGAGAGTGACTGAAACTTTTTACAATCATGGCTTCGTGTCCACTACCACCGACCAAGAAAAATCCTTTAGATACGCAGGCTATTAACAATTTTTGTGAATATTTACAAATCCCGTCTGTGCACCCAAACATTAATTACGGTAGTTACCATCTCAAGTTTCAATTGCATTTTTTTATTTACTTTTTCAGATGATTGTGTCCAATTCTTGCAAAAACAGGCCAAAACTTTGGACCTCTCCATCAAGGTACACAACGTAGTACCTAAAAAACCCATAGTCGTACTAACGTGGATCGGAACTGAACCGAACCTACCATCCATTTTTCTAAATAGTCATATGGATGTAGTCCCAGTTTACGAAGATAAATGGACCCACAAACCTTTCAGTGCCCACATAGATGAACATAACAACATCTACGCTCGTGGTACGCAGGATATGAAGAGTGTGGGTATTCAGTATCTGGAAGCTATTCGAAGATTGAAGCAACGAGGAGTTGCCCTGAAACGAACAATTCATGTATCTTTTGTTCCCGGTGATTTAAGTACAATACATTGTCAAAAATATTTACATTTTTAATTGTAGATGAAGAAACTGGTGGTATAGATGGGATGAAGAAATATGTACACACCACAGAATTCAAGGAAATGAACGTGGGAGTAGCTTTGGATGAAAGTGCGGCCAGTTCAACTGACGCGTTTAAGGTTTATTATGCAGAACGCTGTCTGTGGCGTAAGTAAGATATTGTTGTGAAAATTAGAAGTCATGAATTTTTTAGAATTTCATATTCACTGCCCTGGCAACCCAGGGCATGGTTCTTTACTTTTGGAAAACACGGCGGGGGAAAAGGTGGCTTACATTTTAAAGAAAGTCTATGAATTTAGGAATGAACAAGTGCAAATCCTGAAAGATAACCCTGACTGGATCACCGCTGACGTCACGACCATCAATTTAACCAAAATAACGGTAAGGGTTAGAATTAATAGACATCCAAAAAAGGGTTTTATGTCGTACTAAAAGTGTTTTTGAAGGGAGGCGTCCAAACGAACGTAATCCCTCCAGAATTCGTCCTCTCTTTCGACTGTCGCATCCCTCCAAAAGGGATTGATTTTGAAAAATGGGAAAAAACGATTAACCAGTGGTGTAAAGAGGCCGGTAAGGGAGTGTGGGTGGAATTTGACCATAAAGAGTCACCTATTCCTCCCACTAAGCTGGACAACTCCAACATCTACTGGGTTGCTTTCAAAAAAGCGACTGATAAAATGTACGAAGCAATAATAACTTAAGGAAAACCAAATAAGAGCCAATTTTTCAGGGGACTGACACTAAAAATTGAAATATGTGGGGGAGCAACCGACGCTTGCTATGTTCGAGATGTTGGAATACCGGCCATAGGTTTCTCGCCCATGAATAATACCCCGATTTTGTTGCATAGCCACGATGAATACTTGAATGTCGACACGTTTCTAAAAGGGATTGAGATTTACTGCGAAATCTTAACCTCAATGGGGAACAAAATCAAGTAATCTTGTTTAAATACGGATTCTACTTTTTGTTTTTGGTAATTGATAATAAGAATAAAATATCGTAAGTAACAAGAATGTGCTCATTCCACTTTCCACATTTTGAACCTATCTAGTTCACGATTCTCCAATAACAAACAGAACTTCCCTCACCTTTGAAGTAAAGCCTAATAAATATCGCTTCTTTAGAAAACTAAAAATTTGATTTTGGGAATTTTGGTTTTACTGTTTTAGGGCAAAGACTAATGCCGTAAATAATAATTTCGAAAAATGGAAAAATAGAAAGTTGGAAAATCGAAAAATTCGAATAAATCCTACCGGAAAGTTAAAAAATCGAAAAATAGAGAAGGGGAGAGGTCAAAAAATTTAAAAGTAAAAAAATGAAAAATTAAAAAACTCGAGAATGGGATTGAAAATTTGAGAGGTCTAAATGTAAAAAAAATTGAAAACCTAAAAACTAAATAATGTAGAAATTGAAAAATACAAAATTCGAAAACTTGAAAAATCCAAGAATTGAAAAACTGAAAAATCGGAAAATCGAAAAGGGAACAAATTGAAAATTCGAATGTAGAAAAATTGAAAATCCGAATGTCGAAAAATTGAAAATTCGATGAATCAAATTTTCGAAAAAATGAAAACCAGAAAAAATATACAAAACACGACATATTGAAAGTTGAAAAATGTAGAAATAGAAAAACCAAAAAGTCTAAAAATCGAAAAACCGGGAAAACGAAAAATTGAAACATCCACAAATCGAAACATCAGAGAATCGAGAAAAAGAAAAATCGAAAAGTCGAGAAGTCGAGAAATCAACAAACTGAAAAATCTAAAATTAAAAATATTGAAAAACTGAAAAATCCAGAAATGGAAAAATTCCCAAAATTGTGTTGAAGTTGAGAAATCGAAAACTTGAAAAACCGAGAAATCGAAAAATTGAAATAATAAAAAATTAAAAAACCGTAAAATCGAAAAATCTAAAATTTAAATCGAAAAATTGAAAAACGAAAAATCGAAGAACCGAGGAATTGAAAAATTAGAAAACCGGAAATGCGAAAATCGAAAAATCAAAAATTCGCGATTTCCAAAACCGAAGAATCTAAGAGGCGAAATATATAAAAAACGAAATGTCGAAAGTCGAAAAATCGAAAATTCTAAAAACCAAAAATCTAAAAGTCGAAAAATTGAAAAAATGAGAAATTGAAATTAAAACACTTAATTTGAATATCGAAAAATGGAATGTTCGAAAAATGTAAAAATCGAAAACCAAAAAGCCGAAAAATCGGAAAATCGAGAAAACGAGAAATTAAAATATCAAGAAATCGAAATATCAAAAGATCGAGAAACAGGAAAAACGAAAAGTCGAGAAGTTAAAAAATCGCAAAACCGGAAAATCTAAAATTGAAAAATCCAGAAATGAAAAAATTCACAAAATTGAATTGTTGAAAATTGAGCAATCGAATATGTACTTGAAAAATCGAAAAATTGAAAAATCAAAAAAAATGAGAAATTGCAAGATCTAAAATTTAAATCAAAACATTGAGAACCGAGAAATTGAAAAATCCAACAACTGAAAAATAACACAATTGATAAATCGAAAAACCGAGAAATCGAAACATCGAAAAATTGGAAAATTTAAAAGAACTAATAATTTAAAATTTGAAAAATGAAAAACTGAAAAATCGAAAACCAAAAAATCAAGACATTGAAAAATTAAAATTTAAGAAAAAAATTGAAATATCAAAAATTGAAAAATAAAGAACCGTAAAATCGAAAAATTGAAAATCTGAAAATCGAAAAATCGATAAATAGGCGTATCAAAATATCGAAAATTTCGATTTTTCAATATTTCGATCTAGAAGTCGAAAAGTCTAAAAATCAAGAAATCGAAAAATCGAGAAATCGGAAGTTGAAAAATCAAAAAATCGAATATTTAGAAACATCAAAAATTGAAACATTGAAAAACTGAAGAAGCGAAACATTGAAAAAATTCCAAAAATGAAATATGAAAAAATTAAGTTATGGCAAAATGTTGCAGAATAGAATTTTGCAAAATTGAGAAAAATTGAAGTTTTTTATTTTCTTCCAAAAATCTCGGCGTCTAGGATAAAAACTCAACATGGATTCATCAACCACAAGTTAGCTCACGAATACCTTATTTTATAAAATTTAATTAAGATCTAATGTAAATTTTGGAGATGACGTCATCCTATGACGGTAAGGATGATTAGCCAAATTTTGGATAGCGTTCTACCATCTACACGATAATACTAATACACGTACATAATTTGAAAACGATGGGGGTTCAGTAGTTTCCGAAATTATCTGTCTAATAAAACCCGGACATTCGGCAGTCAGACAGACGAAAACAGGAGACCTATAATTTCGCACTGCAGGTGTCATGAAACCTCAAGAAAACTTCTTTAGCTTACGTTCGACTTGTAAAAAAACAAAACGTGGTGACCAAAAGTGACAAAATTGAGTAAATACTAGTATTTTCCAAATATGTATCAATAAATAACTAAATTACTCCACAGTTCTATGACAGTCCACTCATCATTACGTTGACATTCCTCACACAGATAAGCAATAAATGTATGTTTGCGGTCAACCTTCAGTACTACACGTATAAATTTCCTATTCACTAAAAAATAAGTGCAAAACAAGACAAACACATCGCGAAAACAAGCACTGTTCTTATCAAATATTCCAAATATTTTTCGTAAACAAACTAATACCACAGTTTATCACACACAATATAAATATAAATCATACACAAAGCCTATTCATTAAAACAATCTACATAAACACCAAGTAAATCTGTATATTTAGCAATAATTCTTTTGTATTTGAAATTCGGTGTTAATATGTCTTCGTGCCAACTTCCATCGACTAGAAAAAATCCTCTAGACACACAGGCTATCAACAATTTTTGTGAATACTTACGGATCCCATCTGTGCACCCAAATATTAATTACGGTGAGTAGCTACACATTCAAGTGTGACTCTTGATTTTATTTCTTTTTAGATGAATGTGTCCAATTCTTGCAAAAACAGGCCAAAAGTCTGGACCTCCCCATCAAGGTACACAACGTAGTACCTAAAAAACCCATTGTCGTGTTAACATGGGTGGGAACTGAACCAAATCTACCATCCATTCTACTCAATAGTCATATGGATGTGGTCCCAGTTTTTGAAGACCAATGGACCCACAAACCTTTCAGTGCCGATATAGATGAACACAATAACATCTATGCTCGTGGTACACAGGACATGAAGAGTGTAGGGATTCAATATTTGGAAGCTATTCGAAGATTGAAGCAACAAGGAGTTGCCCTGAAAAGGACGATTCACGTAACTTTTGTTCCCGGTGATTTGTGTATAACACAGTGTCGTAAATAACTATATATTTAATTGTAGACGAAGAAATTGGTGGTTTAGACGGGATGAAAAAATTTGTACAGACTAAGGAATTCAAGGAATTAAATGTAGGTGTAGCTTTGGACGAAAGCGTAGCCAGTCCAGATGAAACATTTAAAGTTTATTATGGCGAACGCTGCCTGTGGCGTAAGTACGACATTATTATTATCGATATAAGAAAAGTCACGATTTTTTTAGAATTTCATATCCACTGCCCTGGAAATCCAGGACATGGATCTTTACTTCTGGAAAATACGGCAGGAGAAAAATTATCTTACATTGTGGACAAAGTCTATGAATTTAGGAATCAACAATTGCAGATGCTCAAAGATAACCCTGACTGGATTAGGGCTGACGTCACCAGTATTAATTTAACGAAAATAACGGTAAGAGTGGGTCGATTTTTTTTACAGAATACTGAAAAGTCGTTCTTGCAGGGGGGCGTTCAAACCAATGTAATCCCTCCAGAATTCGTTGTTTCTTTCGACTGCCGCATCCCTCCAGAACGAGTCGATTTTAAAAAGTGGGAAGAAACCATAAACCAGTGGTGCAAAAATGCCGGTAAAGGGGTTTGGGTAGAATTTGACCATAAACAGTCACCAGTGACTCCCACCAAGTTGGACAACTCCAACATATACTGGGTTGCATTTAAAGAAGCCACCAATAAACTGTAAGACGTAGCTCTTAAAAGACCAAACAATAACAATTTTTCCAGAGGGCTGAAAGTGAAAACCGAAATATGTGGCGGAGCTACCGACGGTCGCTACATCCGAGGTGTTGGAATATCAGCCATCGGTTTCTCACCCATGAATAACACCCCAGTATTGTTACATAACCACAATGAATACCTGAATGTCGACACATTTCTAAAAGGGATTGAGATCTACATCCAAATTTTAACTTCAGTGGGAAACAAAACCAATTAACCTTGTTAAACACGCGCTTATTTCTGTTATCTGATAATAAAAAAAACCTTCCTGTTATCTAACTTTTTTCATACCTACAACTTTAACCTCGGTAAAGTAGCCAAAATGTCTTCAGTTCACAAAAATTACTACTTTGACCAAATAGCGGTGAACAATTTTCGGGAATATTTGCGAATTCCTTCCGAACAACCAAACGTTAACTACGGTGAGTACCAACAATAAACCAAAATTATTACCTAGACTGGATTCACAGAAGCCTTGGTGAGATTTCTTCAGTTTCAAGCCTTAATTTTGGATCTACCCCTACAAATACATTTATCGATGTCCAAAAAACCCGTAGTTGTGTTAACATGGGTGGGAACAGAACCGACTCTCCCAGCAATACTACTTAACAACCACATGGACAAGGTACCACTTTTTGAAACCAATTGGAGTGACAACCCTTTTGGTGGAGAGATTGATGATCAAAAAACTTACGCTAGGACCAGTCCACATAAGAAAACTGCCTCCATTCAATGTCTTGAAGCTGTGAGACGTTTGAAGAATAGCGGAGTGACTTTAAAACGAACGATAAACCTATGTTTTGCGCCAGGTAAAACTCGATTTTTTTCTTACGTGTTGAATAAAGATTTTTGTAGATGGTTTTGAAGGAATGTTAAGATTCTTAAGGACAGAAGAATTTGATAAACTGAACATTGGATTTGCATTAGATTCAGGACTCCCGAACGAGTTTACGGTATTTAACGGGGAAAGATGTGTCTGGAGTAAGATTTATTAACAGCTCAAAATAACCAAAGTGATGTTTGTTTTTAGAAATACGAGTACACTGTCAAGGTATCGCTGCTGGCGATAAAATGACTCGTGTTTTAGACAAATTTTACGCTTTTAAAATGCGAATTATTGAAAGATCATCCTAATTAGACGTTTGGAGATCTCATCTCCATTGATCTAACAAAAATCGAAGTAGGAAACGGTTTGTCTAAATATTGTTTTTGTATATTTATATTGCTTGTTGTAGAGTGGTGACCAACACTGTGTGCTAAATTTTGATTGTCTGATTCCTCCCGAAAATGTGGATGTTGCACTAGCCAAAGAAGTAATAACTAAATGGTTCAAAGACGTTGGTTATGATCTATTGATTGAATATCCAGTGCAAGAGCCACAAATCAGACACACAAAAGTCGACGGTTCGAATAAATATTGGGTTGCTTTTAAAGAAGCGATCGATAAACTGTACGCATTTATAGCTACCTTCAAGCTCACATAAAACTGTGGTTTATTTTAGTGGGTTAAAAATGGAGACCCAAATTTTCCCGTGTTATACAGATTGTCCCCATTTTAGACTCTTCGGTATCCCAGCGTTAAGTTTTACACCCATTAACAACACCCCTGTGTCATTAGATGAAGATGGTCACCACTTAACGCTTGACGCTTTTTTAGAAGGTATAGAAATATATTACAATATTATACTATCGTTAGGGAACGTTGTGTAGAAACGAAAAAGCGAAGGATAAATATTAAGAGCAGTTAGAATAAAAAATGTGTACTTAGTTATAATGGTAATAAACATATATGGATGTGATAAAAAAAATTAATTCTTGCCAAGTATAGTATCGTTCTTACATTTGTAAATCTCAACAAAATATCAAGTGCATGATAGAGTTTCTTGAACATTAAACGTGGAGCTTTTAAAATCAACTAAGCGATGAAGATGGCAATAAATACACGGATCCTAAAGATCTAGTGGATGCATTTGCTGAGACATATGGTAACGTTTTTGGACGCTTCAAATAGTCAATTTGATTCTAACTCAATGTCTTCATTTATGGTTACTTCCATTACTCCGAATGAAATAGAATTTTGTTCTTGCTGAACCCCTTTCATTACTTAAGAATTTTACAAAGAGGTGAAAAACAGGCAAAACTATTCCTGTTTTTAACAAAGCTAGTCCACAATTTTTAAGCAACTATAGGCTAATCTTTATATCAAATTTTGCTAAGGGATTAGAACAAATCCTTTATCGAGTCTTTTGTCGGTTTGAACCAGCAAGGTTTCATGAATGGAAGGTCCACTATAACAAATCTGGCGGTTTTTATTCAAAAAATCAATGAGGTATTGGATCGACAAGGACAGGTTGCTGTTATTTATCTGGATTTTTCCCGTGTGTATGATAGCATATCTCATACCATTTTGCCACATAACTTGACAATTTTGGGTGTTCTTTTCCCCTCCTTGAACTTCTTAGATCTTATCTGTCGAATCGAATTAATTATCTTTTTAAAATGGTTTCTCCTCTCATAAATTTATCTCAACGACCGGTGTTCCTCAAGTCTCAAATCTTGGCCCGCTGCTTTTCAGCATTTTCCTTAACGATTTATTGTTATCTCTGGTCTTGCTTTTGCTGATGCCATAAAAATACGTCGTATAATTTTCTCATTTAATGACTGGACTGACAACTTCATGTAATTCTGCGCCGAAAAAAAGTTTATTTTGAACACTAATAAATATTTTTATGTATCATATACACTTAAATCCAATTCTATTGAGACTTTTTATAAGATTAATGACCTGAACTTGAGAAAAAGTCAGTTGTAGAGATCTTGATGTAACGTGTAACTTTTACTCACTTTTAAATATTCACACTGAGGACGTAAGTAATTTAGCAAATAAATCATCGGGTTTTATAATGCGTGTTTATAACGAATTTAATAATCCTGGTCTTCTGAAATCTCTTTACTTTGCATCTACATGAATCAACATATATGATGCTCGACTGAAATGAACTTATTGTTACAACGCCATAGAGTGCAGTCCCTTGAGTCCAGAAGATATTTTCAGTGTGCTAAATTTTTTATTAAACTGCTGCATAATAAAATTGATTGTTCCATATTACCCTCTAAATAAAATACAGTTTCATATTCCACGTTTTTCAGCCACACCAATATTTTAACTCGAGCGCCTATAATAAATATTATGTCAAAATGTGCTAGTAAATTGATAGATGAGATTATTTTATTTTAAGCCATAGTGTTAGCTTAACCCCCTCCCCGTTGTACCGTAATTATTAAAACATGGTGACGTCATTGGCCTAGCCTTTCCCACTGGCTACTAACCACACCCACATTTTCCGTAATTAGCTAAATATTCAGGATTGATCACGTGATAGGTTCGCCAGACGAAGACGCACGTGACGTCATATTGGCGGAAATTTTAAAATTATAAATATTTTATAATTTTGAAGAATAATTGTAATTAAAAATTAGAAATAACAATGTAGACATTTTTTTACGCACTAAAGCTTGACAGAATTGCGTCGGCGCCATTCTCTAGTGTTTATTAACCGTTCAGTGACTTTTGAAAAATATACCGTGCCCAAATTGTTCTTGACCGCGACCGACCATTTGGACATTAACAAACTTGTTTATTTAGGTGTAGGCCCATTTCCTTGGAAATGGAAGATCTAAACTGCATGTGGGGGAAACGTTCCTAAGATTTTGATACATATATTGAAAAATATAAACTACAAGCTTAATCTATCAATCTATATCCAGCGTGTCATTGAAAGGTACGTACAAAATAAAATCGGCAATTGGTCTCGAAGTATGGATGCTAAAAGTAAAAAAAAGTTCAGATAAAAGTATTCCCCTTTTGGAAATAAAAATTATTAAAATTTATGTCCAAATTCGTTGTACGCCTCTGATAAAAAGGTCATCTTTCGTTTCTGTAGCATAAAAAGGTCTTTTATTTTTCAATATTGTTACAGTTGCTAGGATTTACTAAAATAAATTAATTTTACCTATTTACTAGAGATGTACCGACTGTAGGTCTGGCCGACTAACCGACTAGCCGATTGTTCGGCCAGTAAAAACCGACTAGTCGGCCGACTGTTCGGCTTTGCTAAAACCGGTTTATAAATGCGACAGACAGTGTGTTTTTTTTCTGTTTCTATGACTACCGTAAAAATTTGTTTTATTTTAATAAAAGGAATAACTAAAGTTCCTTTGTTTTCCAAAAAATGTGTTAAATTTGTTTGGATAATTCTAACATTTAATTTTTTTGTAGTAACTCAGTACAAAAATAAAGAATAACACAATTTAGGGCCAGTTTATACAATATTTTAACTGAGATTAATTTGATCGCGCATTTAACAAGGCCATTAGCGACGTCTGATTGGCGTAGAGTCGATCACATGGTACTTTGACGCGGTGTTAAAAATTAAATCGCAATTAAATATTCAATTGAGGTTCTGTAAACCGGGTTTTTTTATTTTATATACTATTTCAATTTTAATAAAAAAAAGCCGACCGATCGGCTGTTTAGCCGACCAGTCGCCGACTGCCAGCCGACGATGAAAAACGGCCGAATAGTCGGCTTATCCGACCGGTCGGCCACTAGTCGGTACATCCCTATTATTTATCCTTGAGTAGCGTCTAAAAAGGTTGGATAAGCGTTAATTTTCTCCTTATAATTTTGATAACGCAAACTAAGTTTTTTAGACTTCTTAGACTTCGCTAAGGCTGTCAATTTTGTTGTACGTACCTTTCAATAACACCCTGTATATGTATAAAAGGCAATGTCCCAACTGACCTATCAACGCCCAGCCCAAATCGCTAATGCTAGAAAATTGAAATTTGGAGAAATGCTCATTTTATACTGGAGGCATCGTTTAAGAAAGGATTTTTCGAAATTCATCCCCTAAGGGGGTGAAAATGGGTGATAAAATCTGTATAGGTACAATATGTCTACTGTAAATTTACATTGTTACGTGAAACCTGGTATTAATTCTCTTCAATACAAATAATGAAACACATAGTTAAGCATTTTCCGATATTCAACCCCTAAGGGGTGTGTATTGGCAAACATATTTTAATGGTAATGTTTATTTAAAAGTTGGTATTAATGCTCTTCAACCCTAATAACGGAACACGTATTTAAGCATTTTCGGAGATTCGATCCTAAGGGGGTGAAAAGTGGTATCCAAGTTTGGGCGGCTAAGTTTGTATACTTAGAAACAATATTTCTACTATAAATTGAAATTTTTACGTGAAACTTGGTATTCATGTTCTTCGACACAAATAGTGAAAGTATTTAAGCATTCTCTAAAATTCAACCCCTAAGGGAGTGAAATGTGGAGACTAAGTTTGTATGGGAAAATATTTCTGTTGTAAATTTAAATTTTTACGTGAAACTTAATATTAAATACTCTTCAATACAAATAATCCATCACGTATTTAAACATTTTCCGAGATTCAACCCCGAAGGGGATGAAAAGTGGTGGCAAAGTTTGTATGGGAAAAGTATTTTTACTGTAAATTTAAATTTTTACGGGGAACTTGGTATTAATAGTCTTCAACACAAATAATGAAACACGTATTTCAGATTGTTTCGAGACTCCATCCCTAAAAATATGAAAGGTAGTGACAAAGTTTTTATGAGCAAAAATATTTTTATGTCGATTTTTACTGGGAATTGTATTAACGCCCTTCAACACATTTTTTACTTAAAGGTTGGTAATAATGCTCTGAAACACAACGAATCGTCAACGCGACCGAAGCCGCGGGCGAAAAGCTAGTAAAAGAATAAATCAAAAGCAAAAATGTATAACCAGAGCATTTCAAAGAAGATAAACGCTGAGAAAATAGTATCATAAATGCTTTAAAGTACGGTGGAAGCATTAAATTCACATGAAATGGGCTTTATCGCAAAACAATCAGAGAACAAGATCATACTGAACGGTAATAAATTCAAAGTAAAATTATCAACTGCAAAGAAATCAGATTAAAGTGGTTCCGCATTGGAAACTTCCCAAAAACTCATCTAAAATATCCATGTCGCGACGCACGGGTCGAAGAAAACTTTGGATTAATTTTCATAAAAGGTGATCGGTAACATCTGTTAACGCTTGATAGGTACGGTCGAAATCGAGAACACATTATGGTAGCGAGAGCGAGACAAGTTAAGTCAGACTGGTAGTAGCAGCATGGAAAATTTTCTTTTTCTCGGTCTCAGCAAATTTTTAAGTCCGGATTTCTTCAAAATTCAGCCAAAAATGGTAGAAAAATCGATCAGCAAACGGACAGCGTGGCCCACGGCAACTCGAAACTTGAATGAAATTCGCTTTCTGTGTTACTGCTTTTATAAGGATTTTGCGACGTTAGTGAGCAATAAAAAGACTTAAGTTATGGGTTACTCGGAACGCGACTTTCAGGTCTTATTTTGCTGTTTTATAAGGTGTAATTTCGTTTGAATAAGATTTGGTTTCTTACAGATTTACGCGAGTTCGGTATCTTAAATTTGTCGGTTTTTTCAACTTGCATCATGATTCCCATGTAGTCATCGCTACGTTGCGTCAGCCTGCTGCATCTCTGTTAGTAAAGCGGCGTTCTTTGATCTGTTTATTATGCGTCTAGGTTTCGCCTGCTAGTGTTTTAATTTGAATACGAATTCTAATGAAAGTGATTGCGATTGGCGGTTTTTATGGGTGAACAGTTCTGCGCGTGTTGTTTGCAATGTCTGA